GAGGAAGATGTAGTGAGTGTGGGAGGGTTTCCCTGTGCGCTGAAACCAATGTACTGATGTGTGGGAAATGTACCCCACTTTGCTGACACCAGTGTAATAATGGGGCGGATGTGTCCCCACTGCTTTGATTTTTGAGGTGTAGAGTTAAAGTCATCGCAGAACATCTCTATTACTATCGGAGTATGGCAGCTGAAGTTCGGAGGACAGGCAAGGCAGAGGCGCCCAAAGGAGCGGGGTTTCTTGCCATGCCCACGAGGGAGAGCAGTCTTTGTCGACAGCTCAGACACTGCTATGAACAAACTTCGATTTTAAGCAATTCGTGATGGAAAACAGGAAAGAATTTGAATGAACACAAATTCAGAGACATGCGGTCACATGATGGGGAAGGAACAAGGGTGCCTAATATACGGTTGTGAGTGAGAAGAGAGTTATGGTGTTTACAAGACTAAAAAGCTTGGTGATAAGGAGACAGAAATGCAGGGTAGTCAGAAAACAGACATTTGAATATCGATAATAATAGCGGTAACACACTTAATGATTCAGAATAAGCATTTTCTAATGAACAATTTGAGTATAAACAAGACATAATTATACACAAAGGCTTCAGAATAACAGCATGGGAACTGCTGGAGTTGGCGGAGGACAATGGAGTTGCTGTAAGATAAGAAGCATATGTTTTTTCTGGTATGTGGGGCGAGAGAAATCACGAGAACAGGTCACTACATCAGGGAAGGAGGTAGGGAGACATGAGGATCAGGAAGGGAGAAAGGGAGAGAGAGGGAGAAAGGGAGAAAGGGAGAGAGCGAGGGAGAAACTGCTCCATATCACTCCAGCTATTCAGGATTCGCCATTTCCACCATCGCTAATATAAGGACAAAGGATGGAGGAGGAGAGGGAAGGGGAGGAAGGAGAGACATATATTTAAGGGAAAGCGAGATATGGAAAGAAATGGTGGGGGGAGAGATAGTGGGAGATGGGGGGGGGAGAGGAGAGAGAAAGAGTGAGGGATGTTGGGGGAGAGAGGACATGGGGGAGGGGGCAGAAGAGAGAGAGTGAGGGATGTTGGGGGAAGGAGATAGAGAGATGGAGGAAGAGAAAGAGAAATAAAAAAGAGGGGAGAGGAGGAGGAGTTAGAATAAGAAAAAGAAAAAGGGGAAAAAGAAGAAAGAAAAAAGAAAAGATAAATGAAAAGAGGAAAAGAGGGCGAATTAGAAAGAGAAGAAGGACAAAACAGAAACAAAACGAGAAAGAGGAGTAAGAAGAAGAATGAAAAAGAGGTCTCAATTTCACCCCCCAACTTTTATGTCTCCTGCAAACAGTAAATTTTCATCCCCGTAAAAAAATTCTTCGCATATTTTCTCCTACTTACTTTGAGCACACTGCCTGTTTACTAAAGAGCTTTGTTTATATTATCTTTGTTTATCTTCTCCACTCTGTTCCCTTTTTTGCAGTTTGTTTTATACTTTAGCGGTATCTTTCCTTCTACGGAGAAGAAGGAGAAAGGGGATGATAATAAAAAGGAAGAACGAGAGAAGATGATAATAAAAGAAAAGGTGTTTTTACTCCTCTGCTCCGCGGCGTTGAAAGACACTCGTTCACCGTCGTTTGCAGTTGCTTGCGATGAGATGGTGCTTGTCCCTGTGACCTGAATTGCAACATTTCTGCAATGGCTTTGTAGGAGAAAGAGAGAAGGGAGGGGGGGGGGAGGGAGAGAGGGAAAGGGGAGGGGAGAGGGAGTGGGAGAGGAGAGGGAGTGGGAGAATGAAAGAGAGGGGAGGAAAAGGGAGGAGAGAGAGAGAGAGAGAGAGAGAGAGAGAGAGAGAGAGAGAGAGAGAGAGAGAGAGAGAGAGAGAAATAACCGAACGAGCCTGCTGTTGTCAATCTGTTGTGCCTGAAGTAGGGCGAGGAACTGTCAGCTCAGGTCAAGACGGAGAGCCCCCAGGGTGAGGGAGGGAAGGGGAGGGACGGAGGGAGGGAAGGGGAGGGACGGAGAAAGGGAAGGAGGGAGCGAAGGGGAGGGACGGAGGGAGGGAAGGAGGGGGGGAAGAGGAAGGACGGAGGAAGGGAAGGGGAGGGACGGGAGGACGTGGGGAAGGGAAGGAGGGACGGAAGAAGGGAAGGAGGGAGGGAAGGGGAGGGAAGGAGGGAGGGAGGGAAGGGGAGGGACGGAGAAAGGGAAGGAGGGAGCGAAGGGGAGGGAAGGAGGTAGGGAAGGAGGGAGAGAAGGGGAGGGACGGAGGAAGGGAAGGAGGGAGGGAAGGGGAGGGAAGGAGGAAGGGAAGGAAGGAGGGAGGGAAGGGGAGGGACGGAGGAGGGGAAGGAGGGAGGGAAGGGGAGGGACGGAGGAAGGGAAGGAGGGAGGGAAGGGGAGCGACGGGAGGACGTGGGGAAGGGAAGGAGGGAGAGAAGTGGAGTGAGGGAAGGGGAGGAAGGGAGTGAGGGAAGGGGAGGGACGGAGTAAGAAGGGAGGGAAGGGGAGGGAGTGAGGGAGGGTAAGGTA